AGCACCACATAAGCAAAAAGAAAAAAGCCAGAAGTGGCGCTGTGGCTCAAGTGGTAGAGCATTAGCCTTGAGCTGAAGAGCTGAATGACAGCGCCTAGGCCCAGAGTTCAGGCCCCACAACTGGACCCAAAAAAAAAAGAAAACCAATATTCTAAGCCAGGCAGGAAGATTAATTGATTTAATCCCAACACTAGGGAGGCAGAGGCAGGAAGATCTCAAGTTTGAGGCCAACCTGGGTTACACAGAAAGTTCCAGGAAAGTCTGGGTTACACAGGATCCTGTTTCAAACCCCAAAATAAAAACAAGACAATCGCCAGTAGCTCATGCCTATAATCCTAGCTGCTCCGGAGGCTGAGATCCGAGGGTCCCAGTTCAAAGCCAGCCCTGGCAGGAAAGTCCATGACACTCTTATCTACAATTAATTACCAGAAAAATGGAAGTGACACCACGGTTCAAAGTGGTAGAGCGCTTGCCTTGTGCAGAAAAGCTCAGAGTCAGTGCCCAGGCCCCACAACTGACCAAAAAAAAAAAAAAAAAAAAAGAAAAAGAAAAAGAATGCAGAGCAAAAACAAGGGCTAATGAAGAAACATTAAATTTAAGGAAAAGCTCCAACATGAGAAGCCCTCATTACCTATAGGCAATCTGTTCTTTTTGTTTGCTGGAGTGGTTGCTGGAGACATCTGAGGAGTACTGTAGGGAGTCATTTCTAAACTGCTGCTCTTTCCCGGCTTTGCCTGTGGTAAGTTTGCCAACAAATTGTCAAGAGCCATTTTATCTTCTCTCAGTTGATCTCCAGACATCACACTCTTCATAAAATTCACCTAATAAAATTAAAGAACCTTATCTAGTAAAATCAAATTTTCAAACACATATATATTTCTCATATAATATGCTTAGTTGAAAGAATTTTGAGAAAAATCCCATTAAAAAATAAAGCCATTACCAGAGTAATTAGCTGACTGTAGGTTATATAAACCACGGTTCTGCTCAAGCCTTCCAGAAGATTAACTGATGACATAGGAGGAGTCTCGACTGCGCGGCCCCCAATCACAACATCAAGAAAAGCAGCCACACAACTCTGTTAAAACGGACAAGACCAAAGTAAAATTCTTCCCCTTTAAAATACTGGAACAAAATATGATTAAACAAGCATGCAAAAAAATTGATTTCTTGAGAATTATGTTAAATCTAACATTTAAAAAGTGAGGCTCTGGTGGGAATGTGGCTTAGTGGTAGAATGCTTGCCTTGCATGCATGAAGACTTGGGTTCAATTCCTTAGTACCACATAAGCAGAAAAAGCCAGAAGTGGTGCTGTGGCTCAAGTGGTAAGTGCTAGCCTTGAGCAAAAGAAGCTCAGGAGCAGTGCCCAGGCCCTAAATTCAAGCCCCAGGACTGGCAAAAAATAAAAAATATAAAATGAGGCTCTTAAGATCAAAGAGACAAACGGCACATGTTCTACTTAATTTGTGAAAGTCAGATCTAAAACACAATGGGATATTGACAAATTACACAAGATTCTAGATACTCACATAGAGTGAGACCAAAAGAAGATAGTATTAGGAGAGAATCACAAAGGTGCAATACCCAAATGTCTCTCCATAGGTATATAAAATAATATACATACTGAAATGAACTCCAAAAATATGGGGGGAAAAGGACATTTTTCTCAATTTGTTGCCTCTTTTTCAGATGACTCTGTGTTCTTTACCTTATATACGGTGTATTCACGTGCACATCTGTGGGAGGATGTGGGGAGGGCACAGAATCCAAGAAAAAAAGGGTGAAAAAGTGCAGCACACCAGACATTGATAAAAGTGAACTATGCAATGGGTGAAGATGGGAGGGAGGGAATGAGAATCTATTACCTAACATATATAAATATAACCCTGCTGTATATCATCTCTAAAATAACAGTAAAAGTAAATAAATATAAATGATATTCTTTATATATTGATATAGAACAGGGGCTGGGAAGATGGCTCAGTGGTAGAGCGCTTGCCTTGCATGCCTGAGGCCCTGGGTTCGATTCCTCAGCACCACATAAGCAAAAAAGAAAAAAGCTGGAAGTGGCGCTATGTGAGCACTAGCCTTGAGCTGAAGAGCTGAGAGACAGCACCCAGGCCCAGAGTTCAGGCCCCACCACCCGACCAAAAAAATAAAAAATAAAAAAATAAAAAGATATACAACAGTCATGAGATATTCTGGCAAACAAAACAAACATGACACGTAGCATTGCATACTCTATGCTACCAATAACATCTGAAAAAGGAACCCCAGAGAAAGTGTATGAAAGATTTTGCCTTTATACAAACAGACCTCAAGAAAAATACAAAGAGCCAGGAGAAGTGGCTCATTTCTGTAATCCTAGCTACTCAGGAAGCTGAGATCTGAGGACTGTGGTTCAAAGCCAGCCTGGGCAGAAAAGTCCATGAGACTCTTACCACCAGAAAACCAGAAGTGGAGCTGTGGCTCATAGTGACTGAGTGCTAGGCTTGAACAAAAAAGCTCAGGGACAGGCTGGGCATGGCTCATACCTGTAATCCTAGCTATTCAGGAGACTAAGAGCTGAGCATTGGAGTTTGAAGCTAGCCCAGGCAAGAAAATCTGTGAGACTCTTATC